TTAAATCCAAAATGGTTTTTCAAGGGAACCACGACAGGTGTTAAGTGAACTACAAATGAATGGTAAAGAAAAAAAAATGAGCCAAAATGTATCATCTGAGCATGATTTTCAGGTTAATATTGCTGACCTTGGTCCTACAACAAGGCGAAGGTTGTACAACTTTAAGAGGAAGGTCTGGATACGGGAGCCAAGTGGGACTGCGCACAGGTGCACCCCCACCGAGAATAACGAAGAGTACCCTTTGAGCAAAACCTGTCTCTGCTTAGACCTCAGAGAATGGTATTCATTTGTCTATGCGAAAAAAAATTTGAATAAAAAAACCTCATTGTAAATAAGCATGATTATTTGTTTTTCTTCTTTCCCGGCAATTTTTTTTTTTTTTTCGACTAACCAGGTACAGCCACGTTCAACGCATCCAGCCGGTTTCAACAAGTAATTACTCCTTAAGCTAATTAAGTATTCTCATATCGCTGAATGAAGAGGTGGCCTTTGATCACATCTTTGGATTAAAGAAAATTTAGAACGTGTTCGGTTCAGCTCTCGCCTGCCGATGAAGTGGCACTGTTGTCTTTTTGAACCATGATAATGTTTAACAAAACGCACCTCTACGTAACTCGGAGATATTAGTAAGTTATCGCTGCGTAACTATTGTTTAGTTCCACAAACGATGTCCACATTTTTTTAAGAAAGGTCATCTTTTCTTCTTCTTCAGTGTTTCATGTCTGTGTTATGAGCTTCACTCAACTTGAATTTTCAATGTTGTGGTTAGTTTCAACTGTTGATATCGACGTTATCATATTATTTTTCATTTCATACGGCAATTTCTAAAATTTCATGAACAATTCTTTAAAAAAAAGACATCAGCAACACACAGTAGTCCCAATCTACGACTTTTTGAAGCAGAGAAGTATCTGTATTTAAGACAGTGACTAATATTTGAAAACAGAGAAAAATCACATTTGCCTTTTCAATTTGTGTCCATGAAAACTTTTCGATGAATATTAATATGGCAAACTTATGAAACAGCAGGAAGGCTGATAAGAAATACGTTCACTAAAACAAAAAAAAAAACAGCTTACCGAATGCATAAAGTCTGTAATTTCATTTTTATGACAGGCGGATTGGTTCTGTACATCAATCGATCATTCCTCACTTTCAAAAACATGTTTTAGTTATTGAAAGTTCATGTGAAACCTGCACCCCTTAATTGAGATCGCTATAAAAACACTAAATTGTTGTAAAAGCTAACAGTATATATTTTCACACGAGGATGTAAGTTCTTCCCCAAGACTGTCCAACGGCAGTGCACTTTCAAAACATGTCGGTATTTTTAGCAAATGAAAAGGAAAAGTGATGAAGATGGTCAGTACAGTTGAGTTAAATATTCCTTCAGGACCACATTGTCGCAAATTGTCGGGTATTGCGTGCTGCTAACCTTTGAACAAAAACATCATTTCGTATTGTCTAATTTGTTTGGTTTTACTCGCAATATTCAGTTTAGATCTTCGTCATTTCCAATGAATAAAAAATCACTTATTTAAAACAGACTTGCCCTAAAAGGCTAAGTAGATGTTAATTTTAATGCAATTTACAAGAAGCCATGGCTAATTGCGCTATAAAACTAACACTTGTTAACATCTGGGCAGGTCATGTCTTTTTCAAACTCACGGTTTTTAGAATGCCCTCTTATCAACATATGGCATTTAATTTTGTTTTGGCAAAGATGTCGAAAATATTCGTTTTATTGTCTCTTTATTGGATTCATTTAACGATTAATAGCCATCTCCTACAGAGTAGCCGAGTATGAAAGAAAGCTACACTTTTCAACCGTGATTATATACTTCTAATTTTTTGCGCGTACTCTTTCGATATTGTGAAACTAATACAGTCATAATGCGTATAGAATCAAGACATGTCGACGCCAGTAGAGAAAACTAGAAAAAAAAAACTTATGACGTGAAAAAATGGCCAAATAGGCATTCAATGTCGCTTGAAGATCGATTGAATAGCAGGTATCGTTTAGTTCTTTAAGCAGTTCTTTCTATTTCTACCCATACGTGACTATGTCGGAGGGTTGGCGGTTAAAAGCTGTTTTGACAAAAGATAGTTAGATTTCAGGCAATTTGAAGGGTTGAAAGCTAATATTTTGAAATAGAGCTTTATTCATTGTTACGGCTCAAGCTTAAATTCTTCATCTGAGAATGAAATGGTACAAATGTTTAAAATAATCAATTAAAAAACATCCAAAATAAAATCAGAAGTTAAAACTGAGGTACACCTTGAAAAATATTTCAAATGTACCGATTCACCTGATGAAAACACAAACATTTAACTGTTTTTTTGTTTTTTTTTTTTTTTTTCCAAAAGAATTGAGGCGTGATAAAAAAGTTATGTCACTGGACCACATGTTTCACTCATTTTGAAAATTTCGTCCTCACAGGATATGTAAGTGGGAACCCTTGCATAATTCTCAGGGTTCTTCCTGCATGTTTACCGAATCTTTTTTTTTATATGTGATATCCAAAAATTATGGTGAATATGATTAAGCCAAATCCTCACTGAAAGTGGGTCAAATTTTATGAAAGTTGCTTTTGTCTACGTCACGTTATGTAAATAAAAGGAACGCCAAAATATTGTTTAACTGCAGTGCAGAAGAGTTGAGTTTTTCCACGAAAGATACTATTTAAGCCTTAGGCAAATATATGATTCGAATCGTGAGTTTCCCCAGCCAAAGATTAGTCGAAGAAAAACTCAGTTTTTGCCACACACAAATGCTCATGAGTCTCTCAGAGCAGTTCGATTCAGTTTAGGTTCATTACTTTGCCGCAAATCTAATATAAAATACAAACAATAACCTTCATTTGGTGCGAAATTATGGACGGATATTTGTTAACGCGCATTATTTGTTCCGAGAGGGGAACAGTTTTCCGAGAGCGAAGCACGAGGATAACTGTGAGCTTCGAGGAACAAATAATGTCCAAGGCAAATATATAAAGGCAAGAAAATATTAACAGTTTATAATCTCTCGATAGAGAATATTACACGGTGGCGAGAAGATAAGAATTTATATGTTCGAGTGGCAAGAACGATATCTCACGACTAAGTACAGCTAACAATATCGCACTCGTGTTACATACAAAAAGTACGCTTCTTGGTTCCCGGATGAAGTGTTCGCATCGATTCGACGAGTGGTTTAGTTCTCGGAAAAACACTCACGTCCATCGAATAAACGAGCATATTTTCTCGCCAAATAAAGGTTGTTGTTTTTATTATACAATCTGTATTAAATATTTTAAGAAAATGAACGACAATTTTTCAAAACATGGTTCGACAGTTCTTCTGTCACCTTCAGTTCTGATTTATACAAAGTACAAAGTTGAATAAGTGTATAACAAAATGCTGATTGGAGAAAACAAACAATAGTAACAGAACAGTGGATGCAATTACAAGGAAAGTTTTAATTTAGCATGATAAAGTTGATGATTAAGTGTAGGTTGCTCTCATTGAATGTGCTCCTATCCAGACCTATTAATATTTATCATTTATTCATCAACGACCAAGTGAATATTGTTATATAATCCCCGAGACGAACTCGAGGGAATTCTTCAACAATATTCGCTGAACCTGAGGAAAATAATCGTTTTCGTATAGTAGGTGAGGTGCTTTCGAATTTTGTTGTAAATTATGTTAATAGAGGAAGCAATTAGTGTTCATGAGTTCAAATCCCGTACAGGCCTGAATTTATTTTCAGGCCTTATTTTCACTATTGCTTCATTACTGTGAGGATCGCTTTCATATTTATCTCTCAAACCGGATTTCACATAAATGATTTTCATGTATTCACAGTCAGTCGAACCCCTTTGATACGGACATCGCAAGTACAGATTGCAGTATCAGTATTGGGAAAGTAGACGTCTCATAGAAGTCAACACGATGACGTCTCTTTTGCTGCTTCACCAACAGTTTACAGGCATCTACAAGTATTATTATACAACACTGAGACAGATCTTTATGGAAAGAATGACATGAAGTGCAATGTTATGTTGCACCTAGAAATTTCATACTTAACTTCGTTTGAAATATTAAAAAAAAATGTTCTCTATTCATCTAAGGCCCCGTCCACACGTATCTGGATATTTTTTAATCGGAAACTTTTCGTTGCGGTTTTGCCTTCCGTCCACGCGTATCCGGTGAATACGGATGATATATCCTATTTAAAAACGCTTCCCAGAGTGGATTTTTTCCAAAATCCGCATTGAATACAGCCTCGCGTAAACGGCCGAATCCTTATATTTTTGGAAACGCTGACGTAACGATATTAGATCCAATTCGTTTTCGCACAGATAATCTTTACCAATAGACAAGGCATCTTCTGGCAAGGGATATAGCTCAAGAAAGAGGTTCACATACCAGAGTACTTTGTTTGATTTGATTCTTAGTGATTTTGAGCACTAACTCGACTTCATCATGTGTCCAAATGAATGACTCTGCTTTGCCTTTCGTTTGTTTCTATCCTGATTGTGACATATTTCTCGTAGTAAGTCTTCATGACTTCCAAGCAACACATGTCGAATACAAACAAACACAAATGCTGCTTATATTTATCACAGACTCAAGTTTCTTGATAGTGCACATGCACCGTTGAAGAAAGCCTCGAGATATCCGGATACGTATCGGATACGTTAGGAAGGATTAAAACGATTCGAATACGATGCGTGTGAACACAATTTTTTTAAAAATCCCTCTCAAGATAGTTACGGATTCAAAAATACCCGTAGAAGAGTGGACAGGGCCCATAGAATTGGTATGACGTACACCGACTGTCATCAGAGGTTAGAGGTTCGACTATGTGAAGCGGTCAGTGGGTCACCAAGTTATAAAAGTTTTCAGTACCAAAATAGACAAGGACGGAAATGTAGATTCTCCTTCATTACTTAATAGTTTAATGGACTCTGAGGTGGCTCCGCGACCTTTGAGTTGATTTTCATTTCCGTTTGAAAATGGAGGTCAAAACAAAAGTTGCAGAGTCACCTCAGATTCCGTAAAGTATTAATTTACTTTAATTAGGAGATATTCAATAATTGTGCACGTATAATAATATCGTGCATGCCATAGCGAATCCCTGCTTTATATATCCTCGCTATGTTTACATTAAATAGTACCAATCGGTTTAAAAGCAAACAGGGAGGCAGTCACGTTTCTTTTATTTCTATTACATGGAATCATTATTTCTGAAACCAAGTGACAAATTTGAAGACTATTACAGTTAAATAAATTTACCAAAAAAGTCGCTTATAATGTGAGCGGGTTGGATTGGGCCCAGACTTAAGACAAAATAAGTATAGGCAATCACATGATTTCGAGTGCAATTTGGAATAAATTAGCACGAGTAAATTTTTTCAAAGACTAACAAAATTGCACGAGCCCGTAGGGCAAGTGCAATTTGTGGTCTTAAAAAAATTAACATGTGCTTATTTATTCCACATTGCACGAGAAAAATCATTTGATTACGTAATAATAATAACCATGAAAAAAATACGAGAAAGCTCATCATAATTATGTACTAGCAAAGCTAATAATCATGTGTTAAGCTGGGTCTCTAAACACTACTTTTTCCAAACCGACAACCAAAAAGCAGTGCTTTTTACAGTGTTTTCGTTGTTAGAGCTGTTTTTCAGCTGCTGTGTTGTCGTTTCGGTGGCGAAAGAAAATCTATTTAAAACGCCGGCCATTGTTTCGCTCGCAAATTTTCAGCGTATCCAAATGTTGCGACATCCATGGCTCGCATTTGAGTGGCTATCTGTGAGTTTCTTTGAGTATTGACTAATCAGAATATCTGGTTTGTTACCTCTTTGCACTGAATTAACCCTCAGTCTTCTGCATTGAATTACCTGAAAACTGCACTTATCTTAACCAATCAGAACTGAGTAATTTTTTATGTGTATTATTAAAAAAAAAAAGGACTGAAAGCCCGGCTAGAAATTATCTCTTCACTAACCTCCTCAACTACATCTCTGTCTGACTATCAAAATGAGCGTATGGTTTTATAGATTGATGACGTGTTACATTCATGCAATATGTTTTCGTGTTGATAACGTAGTTCTCGAGATTCTGCCTAAAATCTTCAAATAAGGATTGATTTCTGTAAACTAGAGGAGCTTCCTCTCGAATTGTGTCGATGTAGTCTCTCCAGTATGTGTCTATTTCCTTTAAAGACTTTGGGTATGAGCGATGGGCGGGATTACCCGCAGTAACAGGCACAAACATCAATGCCTGACCTCGAAAAATCAGTTCGACGGCAGTAAACATGTACCTATGCAGCGACCACCAGCTTATTTTTTCATACTGCGTGCGGTAAGGGAAAAGATGGTTAATAGATTTATAATGATATGCATTGAAGAGACCATCGAACCATACTGTTGGTATCACAAGGGGACTGTCCGTCTTGTTACATATTGTCCGACCTTTCTCAATGGCCCAGATTGCCCCATAATGCTGTTGATTATCCAAAACGCCTACAACAGGCTCATAATCAAGAAGCCAGTGTTCGAAGACTCTAAACGGTGGATGCCTCCTCATTTCTGGCGGGGCAAATGAATTGAAACGAGGCACCACATCGTCATCCAGAAAAATGTAATACAGGTATCTCGGTAATCTTGCTTTCACAGCAAAATACAGCACATTTCGTCCTGTTCCCCATCCAGTATTGGGATTGAACAGATAAGTGATGTGAGGCGTCTTTTGCACTTGGCATTTTTTTCTAAAGCTTAGCACTATGACATCACAGTTACATGTCTCGGGGTCGCCGATCTCGGAGGAAGAGGCCAAGGTTGGAGGAAGACATTGCTCTGTTTGAGTGAGATAAATGAAAACCTTTGGAGATGAATTCTCTGTCGTCTTTTCTGTGGCATACGCTTGAAATAGAACAGCATTTTGACTGATTACTGTACCTACGATAGACAAGATATCGCAGTTTATTTTGAAGTATAAGCAATCCAAAATAATATGGTTTAATCAACTGAGTTGATAATGTAAATTGGCCATCGTAAAGAGTTTCAAAGCTGACGTTTTGTACAATAAAAGCACAACAGCAATCCAAAACAAAGATGCAATAGAGGTATTTCTAAGGTGTATTTTGAGCCTTTATCAAAGCCTTTTCCTATCACCATTACAGCACCTAAGGTCACAAGAAATGTATGACAGGACTGATGTGGTCTTACTGATACCGAGTAAACATAAGTAGATTAAAGCTCAAGTTCTAATATGAAGTGATTAGTTGCACATAATTTTACCAAAATGCCATAAAAAGCAAGAACAGATTATCATTCTGGAAAGAACAATTTTGAACTTTTTAAAGTCCAAAAATGGCCCGTAACTGGAAATTTGAATGGTGGCTGTTTATGTCAAATAATAAAATGAAAAAGTAAAAATAAAAAAAGATTCCAAAGTGATAACATCGAGAAGTAAGAGTGTCTCAAATACACAGTCACGATATAGTTGTGCAGTACTGCAATATTTGCTCAGCCCTTTATACTCTTATATCAGTATACATATTCTCCTTACTGTTCTCAATAACTTTTTTCATATCCTGATGATGAGAATTTGTTTAACAATCAATACCTTTAGTAGGTGATCATTTCCTTTACTTGTGACCCGAAAGTGTGATTCAGGGGTGATATTTTAAGGAGAAATTAGATCCCAATCACTCTTGGGGTTAAAGGGTTGAACAAACCCTGTATACAACTTTCCAAAAAAATCAGGGCAGTGTAAATGGGAAGGCTGAAACAAAAATAAAAGGTTTGACTGCTCAGTGTTTTGAAAAAAGAAAAAAAACTTATATTGTGTTTACTTTATGTATTTTCTGTTTGTATTCCTCTAAGAATATTGTAATTTTTCATTTTTTTTAAACTCACAGACTGTAGATACAACAAACCTATCGCATGGACGGTAAATTAGTTAATAATAACGCAATCTAGCTGATATTGACCTTGTCGTAGCTAACTACTTATAGCGTCCCTCGCTAAACTGAGCAAACCAAACAAGCGCCTCAGTTAATATGACCAAATTATCTTGACTAACTAACTGACTAACTGGCTTGCCGACTAACTATTATCCACTAACAAAATTTTGAACTCAGTTGATAAAATCAAATTATTTGTATGTCGAGGTAATTTGGTATTGTCAACTGAGTTGATAACGTAAATTGCCACCGTAAAGAGCTTCAAAGTTGACGTTTCGAGCGTTAATCCTTCGTCAGAGCGAATGACGAAGGGCTAACGCTCGAAGTGTCAGCTTCTAAATTATTTACAGTGGCCAATTTACGTTATCAACTCAGTCGATAAAAAGGAATCACCCTGTAACACTTTCTTACCGACACAGCATCACAGTTTTCTAGAAACTTACCCCCTATAAATATTTGGATATCAGTTTACTGGGAAGAAACGTCACGCTATGGATTTATCGAATTGGCTGAGAGGACTTAAACAAACTTTGACAAAAACCTTCATTGTTGTTAAAAGTAGCGGATCATTATACCTTTTATTCTGTCTGAGAAATCAAAGAAAATAAAAAAATCGCAGCTTAGTTCGGACGTGTAGATAGAACGTCTCTGTACTTGTCGTCGTGTTGACCTTAAATCGGCCCTTCAAGTTTTTAAGCTTTCGCAGGCTCAAGAGAACAATTTAAATTGGATTACAACTCACTTCAAAGTTCGTTTTCAAAATGGTTTTGGTTTTGGGAGTGTTCTTGATAAAAACGCTGAGAGCACGAGTCATATGTTGTACATTAAATGCCGTAAATTGTTTCCAACTTGCTTACTTACCTACTATATTGCTGTTGTTGTTTCTGGTCTGTGTTCTCTGTTGTCCGAACTCGGCTTTGTACGAAGCGTAAAGGAAAAAGGCGGTCAAAAAAACGATTAAAATCAAAATTACAAGGTTATTTCTCGTTCTATGAATCATTTTTTGGAACTGTTAAGAGTCACTACGTTCAGCCTGCACGTTTAGGCCTGGGAAAACAAACAATATTTCGCTCTTGTGGGAGAGGAGATATTGGTTCCCCACGATATGCAGTGGATCAGAAAGGTCAGTGTAATATAATTATAAATGCTTGTCTAAAAGAGACAAAAGATTGATATGACCTACTTCTCTTTTGTTTGTGCGGCAGCGTACGGACTGAGAAACCAACATAATGGTTACTCAAATAGACTTCACAGGCGAGCTTTTGTAACTGAAAGTTCCAGTAGAGCGTAAAAGTTTCGACGCAAAATCTCCGAAAAAATTAGATGGTAGAGTCCGATTGAGAGTGATATTAAAGAGCTAATCTCAAATGCTGTCCAGCTAGAATAAAAACGTCAGCATAATATCCTGTTTACGCGTGATGCGAAAATTAAATGGAGCGTTATAACATAGAAAGAACGCCTTCAGGCGGCTGGTATGTCGGCTGATAATGTCTACGGCAAAGGCAAAGGTGTTGTCTGAGAAATGAATATTTGGCCGAGAAGTGAAGGCTCGAGGGCAGATGTAAAATTTTGACACAAAGAAATCTGCAAATTTCACATCGTAGTCTGTTGAGAAACCGTCCAATAACAACTTGGCGAGTGAATTAGTGGAAAATAGGATTTTTGAAATCAATCACAATAGAGGGAACTGTCATTTTTGTGATTAATTTGGTTATCGGCTCACTAGGATGAAACGATACACCATAGCGTCATCGGCTTGGCCCAAAGAAGATTATCAAAATTTGACAAGCAAAGTGAATTGCCTCTTTGTTGAAACTTCTCGAGCTTTCTCTTTGAAAATTGAGGAAAATAAAAATTACATAACTTGGTTTCATCTTGTGAGAAAGACGCTTCCGAAAGCCATGGAAGCCTGCATGTTCACCTGAAGTCAGCTTTGCATGTACTATGCTTTTGATGGTTCCAGCCAGAAAATGAAAGCTCGATTTAATTTGTTTTAAAAAGTGATTTTGACCTAGAGATTAAATAAGTCATATGATTTGCATCAAATGCAGTAAATCATTTTCAACTTGATGACTAAAATATGCTGCTGTTAATGCTTCTGTTCACTGCTCTTTGTTGTCTGAACTCGGCTTTGTACGAGGCATAAACGAAAAAGGCGGTAAAGCTAAGGATTAAATTAAAACTTTCAAGTTTACTTTCCGCTATAAGAATCACTTTGGTTCTGTTGAATTAAAGTATTTTTCAGTGTTGTGTGCGCTTAGGCTTGGGAAAAGCAAATAATAATTTACCCGTTTAGTAAGAAATAGGAGCTCACCATGATATACACAGGTGTGATATTGTTACATATACCCGTCTGAAAATGACAAAATATCAATCTGATCCAATTACTTCGTAATCAAATGTTAAAAAAAGAGATGTAGAAAAAGTTACAATCGGCCGATAGCAGTTTTAATCTAGTAAACTTTCTATCTTCGTGGAAAAAAGGACAGTTGCTTTGGTGATTGATTTTTTTCAGAAATATCCATAAATCATGTTCAACCTCATCCAATAATTGTTTAAGTTCTATGCTTAGTATTCGTGACATTTAAGGCTTTATCGTTGAATGGAAGTGTAAAGGACGTCACAAACGCTCCGAGCTGTGTTAGGTAAGTATATCCGAGTGAGCTTCAGTGGATTATAGTGGTAAACCTTTGATTTGTTTGGCTGAACCTGTTTCATTCCAAATCAGAGAATCAAATCCAACTGTTTTTTTGGGAAAAAAAATGTTTTCAAACAAGAAAATGTTCCCGCAGTACAGAATTGAACTGAAAGAAGGCTGCATTGCAGTGATTACGAGTTAAAAAAAAATACCGTCATACAAGCTATAAAAATGCAATTCTAAAATATGATTATGTCTTCCGTGCTGTCGTATTTTGCATATGCTAAGTGATGTTTAAATCAAAGTGCTCTGTGAGCAAACTCGTGAATTGAAAGATGACTTACATGTTTTTCATGTTTTTTTTGGATTATGTTTAATGTTATCTAGTTTAGGGAATTTGTGGTTGATTTTCATATTTAGAGTACGATCAGTGGTTCAGTGTTCGCTAATGTAGCAAAGAAACAAAGTAATGTTTGGATAAGAAGGCATTACAATTGAAATGATCGTGCTATTACATTCGACAAGGGTGGATGATTTCATATGTTTTAAACATATATCATTTTTGTTTCTGGTTTAAAAGAAAAGGTTGGAAGTAGATGTGGGTGAAAAGTGAAATTTACTGTCTGTCATTGTTAATATTGGAAAATCAAAGCAATACTGTCTTAATGAAAACATCAATGATTCCCTCTTTATCAAATGAGACAGACGGGAACTAGTTTTGAGTGATATAACCAAGCTCAGACTGCCACCGTCATTTTGGATTTCCGCCTGGGCAGATTTTGGTCAAGTGCAAGGCAACGTCTAATCAAGGACAAGATAGAATTTCATTTCAGGCTTATTTATCAATTTTGTGGTGTATAACTTTCGCATTTTAGTACGTAATATTTATTTTGAATCTTCAAATTGTCTTCAAACTTAAAAGCAAATTGTTCTATAAAAATTCACTGAAAATCGGTAGCCAAAATTATTTGTTTAGGCGTCATTTGATTTTCGTGTTAACCTGTAGTTTCGTCAGTCGCTGGCACCTTTTGTTGCTTCACACAGGAAAAACACACGATACGAAATGTAATGATCGATTTTGTCCCTAATCTCACGCCATGACAGAAAAAGCTTTTGAACACCTGTAAACTCCGAGCGCTTCGGAGTAAGTGATATTTTAAATGAATCTTCGGATTGTTTTCAAGTTCAAGGATTGCAAATTACAATTTTATGAAAACCTTATTTCATTGTGAATCCTCGCACGCCTGCCAGTCGCTGGGGCCGCTTGTTGAAACTAAAACGAATAAAAAATAACTCTCTTCTTAAACTCTTCTTTTTCACCCCACCACTATTCTTAGCAACAAAGGTCGCCATTTCATTTATTTATTACTCGCCAAAAACTATCAAATGCACTCAAAAGGCTAAAATCGAAAAAAGTTTACAGGAATCGACCAATCGAGCGAGCGCATGCGCGCAATTCACAAGTTAAAAACGAGTAGCAGCAGGGGTGGATCCAGGGTAGTTTACCTGATTTCCGGAACTCACTCAAATTTTT